GCCAATAGAAATCAAGTATTTTATAGAAAAGGTTTGCCAGGATAATTTTGATGTCCACACATTCTAGGATGACTCATCTGTCTCATTCACTTTTTGAAGTACACATAACTCTCGGATTTAAGTCCGAAGTTTCCGCATTTATTTTTATATGATTTGAAAAGATTAAGTGAATTAGATTATTAAAATTCTTTTTTTTTGTTCTCTAGTAAGATTTTATGGTCGAAGTCGCCGAAAGTTTTCAAACAACGAGCAAAAATATGTATACAAAAAAAGTTCAATTTTAATGTTATATAGCATTTTATAACGAAACCACTATCATATTCGTAATCAGCACTGTTGATTACCTATAAATCGCAAAAAGTTTTTTTTTCAATTCCCGTAGGGGACCACAGTCAATAATTTTTTTGAAAAATTTTTTTTTAACTTGGTAAAAAAGAAACTAGTGTACTATGTTTAGGACTTCATGCTGATTCTAACCATATAGTTTTTATTGGAAAAAAATAAGGAATGAAAAATGGCCTTACCGCCACTAGTCCTTTAATGAATTTAATGGTTTGTAATTCTTATCATTTTTATCTTTGTGGTTCATCAAGAAAATCAACTAATGTTTATATTCTTCAAATTGTTCATTTCCATGCTGAACAATTGACTAATTGTATTATTAATAATGAAATCTCAGCATTCTTTTGTTCTAATTGATTTCTTCTTAAATTCGGACTAGATAACTAATAACCATTATATTAGATCGAGCAATAGTGTCAATTAATTATGAACTGCCAAGATCGAATGATGATTAATGCGAAAGCTTTTAATACACAATATTTGAAATATCGCCCTTAGTGAGATTGTTCTTTGTTTATCTCATTTTTTTTATTTTTTTGAATATGATGATCATTAAAAATTATTTTTTTGTTGTTTAAAAGAAACTATTTTAATCAAGAATATGAAGAACTCGTTAGATGTTTGTTTATTTGTTAAAAATCTCAATAAAACTTCATCTAATGAATAAATAAGTATTGCAGAATATATTACGTTTCTTTGTAGATTAATAATAGATAATCAAATAAGTATATATTTTATAATCAATTACATTTGTTTATTTTAGTTTGATGGACTCTCTTAATATGATGTAATCTTTACGACTTTCATCAGGTAATTGTCGTCGAACATATGCTCTTCTAACAACTTGAATCATAGTTGGATTTATCATTAACTTTATTTCAAGATGTTTGTAATGAAAATTAACATGAAATCGATCAATTATTTAATATATTTAATGAAGATTTCGAAGTTTACAATCAACGACAATTAAAAATAATAACACAATAAAAAGTATCATTGATTATTGGAAGAAATCGAACAATTACAAAGACTTATTCAAGTTCGATTAGATTATTTTTCAATTTAATTGATTATTAATGGCTTGATTTAGGTTAAAAATATTTCAGATTCAGTTTATAATCTTTAAATATGTCATGAAGACTGATATACTTGATAAATCTACTGTTTATTCAATGCTTCATCCTTGATTGTTATGGTCAGTATCTGTACAATCATATCGTTTTTCATCATCTCGTCAAGTTGTGGCATAGATATGAAAACAAGATGAAATTCTTATGTATGATAAAGATGAACTTATTTTATAGAATGTTAATGGAAATTTAATAAACAATTATTTATTTATTTTTATTTTTTTGATAATTGTATGAATATCGGATGAATGCGTTTCATAATCTGCAATAGAAGTTGTTTTTGTATCACATATTGTTTGGCATTCAATAAAAAATTGTTTTCTTGTTTTGAGTCAGATGGCATTTTGATTATTTGACATACATTTATTTACATGTATCAGTGTATAACAAGTTCATGATAATCAATAATATCATTTTATTGCTTTGGTATATGTTGAACAAGATAAAAGTGTGTTTTATTTGTTGCTATATGACTCAAAAGCAATGATTTGACAATATGGTTTCACAATAGAATGAAATCTAAAAAATTCTCTTCATCAAAAGAAAACTTCATTAATAAAGATAATGCTGGTAACATCTTATTGATGATATTTCTTTTTGTGTTTATTGCTTTCTTTAGGTATTCGATATATTCGTGTTAATCCATGTAGTTTACTTGATTACTGATCAATGTAAACGAAATGCTTGCATGTTAGATAAACAATATTTAACCGTTCAGATGAAACAATTCATGTTGATTTATAAAATATTGAATAGGGGAAAATGTGTTTTGATCACCAAAAATGTTTAACTGCGAAATGATCACCAAAAAATGAGTGTTTTGATCACCAAATTTTTAGCTGTGAAATGATCACCAAACAATTAGTGTTTTGATCACCAAATTAATCAGGAATGAGCCAATTAAATTAGAACAAAACGTTCCCAAAAATCAAACTCAATTTGATTTAATCTCATTTGATAGAAATGAGCTCGTTAGTTCAAAGTTGTTATAAGGAATTTGAATAGTACGATGTACGCATCATAAGAAAAAAATGTTGAAAGAAGAATGGCAACCATTGCTTACAGCGAAATCCTATGAAGAAGCAGCTATGTTGGTAAAATCTCAATTGAATGTATGCCAATATCGGCATTCAGATTTAAAGAATCGAACGAAATACTCATTCAAATGCAATGAATACAGAAAATATCCATTATGCTCTTATGAGATTCAAATTATTGTACCAGATGATGATCCAACCTTCGTAACAGTTATGTCACGAAATATTCATCAACATCAGCAATACGAACGTAATTCAACAACACGATTACC